CTTTTCTAGTTCTCCCAGAACCTGGGTTCAAATCCCAGCCCCCACTATTTACCAGCTCTGGGGCCTTAGCAAGGCATCCAAACTCCCTCTGAGTTTTGTTCTCCAGTTTTCCTGGCCTGTGCTGCCCCAAGTCAGGAATTCTGCCACCAACAGAAAGTACGGAAACCCTCCACGGACCAGAACCAGCAACAGGAGGTGCCAGCACAAAAGGGGTTTGTTTTTTACAATACCTCTAATTTCAATATCTGTCGAGGCACAGCCATTTAATGTCCACTTCCTCTGAGGTCTGGGGTTTTTTTTAAGAGGTAATGTCCATTGTCCGATACATGGGAGCTGCTCAAAAACTGTTGGTGGAAGGGAGAGAGAAAGGAAGGGAGGGAGAAAGACGATTCCCTGCCTCACAGGGTTGTTGAATGAAGTTCAACAATTTGTGTGAGTTTCCTGCCTCAGCGCCTGGCATAGAGGGAAACTCAATGTTAGTTTCCTTCCCCTCTCTGGCTCCAAGTGCAAAAGTTACCTGGGAAATATAGCCCATTACAGCATCGTGAATGGGTATACATTCATTTACAGGATTTATCCACATTTCAAAACCTTTGTAGAGGAAACAAACCAGAGCGAGAAAGCTTGTGTGAGGGTCAAGAAGGTCCCTTAAAGTTTCTTAATTTGGTATTTTGATAAGAAAATGTACTAAGGTAGAGAGGGTGGAGGGGACGTTTGAGATGAGCAGTGACCTCAGAGGCGGGAGGCAGCTATGGTGGCATTGTGGGATTGAAAGGTGTAAAGCTGGTGGAAAGCCACCTGCAGCGCCGATGAAATAGTGGCAGACGGACAGGACCAGGGGGGCGGGGGGGCCCGTGGGCTCAGTGCTGAAAACAGGTACCAGTGGTCTGATGCCCAGGCCTTGAGATTCTTGATCTACAATCAACAGATCAACCTAAGAGCTATTTTCTTCTTTGGGTAAAAACAACAAAATCTTTCTGCTTTGAGAGAGAGTTTAGTTCCTAGGAAATGAGTTAAAAATAGTAATACTTATTGAATTGATGATGATATTTTTCACATCTTTCCCCATCCGCAGTTAGCCATAGTTTCCTCCAACTGATTTTGTACTATTTGAAAATAATCAGTGCAGGTCTAACCCAGTTAAGAGTATTAGAAAAGGGAATACACTGTGTAAATTGTCCACAGCACTGCTGGGTGGGAGGCTCAAATGGAAACAGTGAAGTAAAGGCACCGAGAATATGCCCTTTGTCACTGGAAGATTGGCAGAACGAGGCGAATGTGTGTTGGATATTGCTACACTTTGTCTCACCTAAGGTGGTTTTAAGAAACCCAAATAGAAGTTGCTTGTTGAGGCTGAGGCTTAAAATAATCACAAATCTAAAGTATTGTATTTACTAAATACAGTGGGCTTTCTCGATGCATAGACGCACACAAACACACATACTCATACACACACACATACACAGAGAGTAATGTTATATGAAAATATTACACCAAAATAGTATGCACATGCCAAGTATGACATAAAAACACGTTTATGTCACTGATCAAATCAGAAGAAATCTGGAAGCTATGTGGTAGTTGACTTAATACTCATTGAGTTTCTGATGCTCTTTATAAATTTGGAAACTTTTTCTCGGTAAATATTAAGTCTTCCCACGTATGTACATTTAAGGTACATTTAAGATGAGTTTCCTGAGAACATAAGTGCTCAAGAGGAATAAGCAGGAGTTGATGAGGGGAATCTTAATTTGCATATTTCCTGCCTTAAATGCCAGAACTATCTTGGATATAATGTTCCGTGAATAACGCGTTTAGAGTTTAATGTGATATGACTTAAACATTCTCTTTTTGCTAAGCTCTATAAAACCTTTGCTATTAATGGCTGTTAGTTCTCATTTTTATCCACCAAATTTACTAAGGAAGAAAAATTAGGCTGAGGCTTCCATTTGTCTGCTCAAATCTTGTTCTTATTATCTGACAATAAACTTCACTCCTCTTAAACCTGGGACTGTCCACTTGGAAAGGGACAATAGGTGATCTCCCCTGAACATGATGCTTTACATAGTGTAGGGATTCTGCTTGTCAGCCTGCTCCTCTCACTGTCTTTTGATCCTTCCAACAGCCCTGTTGAAGTCGATAGGGTACTAACCCACAGCCATCAGAGATACTGAAACTGAGACATATAAAATGACATCTTCCCTGATTTGACACAGCTAGGAGTAGTAAAACCTCGCCATAACACCATAAGTGAAGCCTAAAATACTTAACCAGGAGAACACAGATTTGCACTACTTCAAGGTTAATCAAATAACCAGGAGAAACCTATGCAGCTGGCTGACCTTTCTGAGCCCTTCAGGGCTCCAACTCACCTTAGTCCCAGCTGTAATTCAGCACCAGCTGCTGTCCTCTCCAACTAAAATCCTGACAGGGACAATTCCAGGGCTGGTGGGGGCTTCTTGGAGAGCGACCAGGAGTCCAGGATCCTCCCAGGTAGCTGAAACCCATTTCTTCAGGTTGATCCAGAAAGACTGAACTGGGAAAAGGCTGGGGTCATGGAGACCTCACTTCCCAAGACAGGGTTGCTATTTCCTCACCTGTCCCATGCCTCCCTTAACATCTCCTTTTCTCCCACTGGGGACATGAATTGTATCACCCACTCCTGATTGAGAATGGGAGCTGGATGGAGTACGGAATCTGCTTCTAATGTACTGTGTCCAAACCATGGAGTTCTGCTGTATTTGTGGACCCAGACCTAGAAGTCAAATCTCCTGATTCCTAGAGCAAAGCCTTTTCTCCACTTTGCTGGCACACTCGGAACTACCATCCCATCCATTATCATTCCAGGCTGCAGAGGGTATCAGACTCCCCTCCCTATGTCAGCAGGTTCTTGTCTAACTTCTTCCTGGGAAAAGGAAATTGGGCCCATCCAGAATTAGAAGCCTAGTCCCAGTTTCCCAAATCCGGGGTTGTCATTGTGCAATCCCAAATGACTGAGAAAAAGGTGAGAGAGTGGTGTAGGGGAGCATTGTATTGTTCTTTAAACGTTTAACATGTTTTACAGGTTGCTAACTTATTTAACACAGCTCATAAATTCTGCCTGCATCTCACAAGCCACCTGCTTACTCACTCTCTCGGCTTAACACATCTCATGAGTTTCATCCATTCTGTTTGTTTTTCTTGTCTCTTGTAGCAGAATTGCTACAGAAGGATTCTCAAATCCTACAGCAAACACATAAGCAGAAAAATCTAGGGAAAAATATAAGATAAAAAAAACCACAGAAAATATTTGATGTATAGTGGCAGGAGAAGTAGAAACCACAACAGAGAGGGGGTGAGTCACAGTGATGCTGGAGTTTTGAGCAGACAGCAGTGGGTGCCTGGGTGCCTCCTGCTAAGGGACGATGCAGTGCCAGTCACGGGAATTGCGTGGTCCTCAACATTGAAAGCCCATGCCCCCGTTGGACGGACATGAAAACCCCGAGTCCTTCTGTAATGTTACTTGAAAATGAAAAGTAAATTACAGATCATCTAAAGGCAAATCACATCAGAGCAAGCATAGCACTGAATATAGTTTCTCACATGGCATGTGGTCCTGCCTCCTGCTCATTTCCTCGCCTCGCTCTGCCTCCTAAAGAGAATTTGAATCGGAAAGCCCTGAGGGAAGGAAAGGCCACACTTCTCTCATTAACTACTTGAAAATGTGTCTTTTTCTTTTTTTTTTTGGCTCTGATTACAAAGGCGTGCACGTTTGTTATAAAAATTCAAACATCGTAGTAATACAGTGTGGAAATAAAAGTCCCCCGAGGGCAGGCCCATGGAGGAGATGACCCTACTGTACACCCGAGAGAAACTGCTTCCTGCAGCCAGACATTGAGGTTTCCTGTCAGCCAAGGCACAAAGGGGACATTGGCTTTCAGAGGTTTTATCCAAACCAGGATTCCCAGGTAAAATACAGGACACCCAGTTACATTTGAATTTCAGATACACAAAGAATAATGTTTTGAAGTATGTCCCAAACATTTCACGGGACATGCTTATACCAAAAATTATTCCTTGTGTACCTGAAATTTAAATGCTTGCATGTTCACTTTTTAATTGTGGTAAAATACACGTAACAGAAAATGTACCATTTAAACCAATTTTAAATGTCCAGTTCAGTAGTGTTAAGTATATTCACATTGTTACGCAACCCATCTCTAGAACTCCTTCACCTTACAAAACTGGAACTGTATACTAACGAACTTACCTCCGCCCCTGGCAACCACCTCTCTACTTTCTGTTTCTATGCGTTCAACCACTCTAAAACTCTCCATGCCTATCCCAGGTGACATTTATGAAAGAAACAATAAGGGGACACAGGTGGCAATATTTTCCTTCTCTGATTTTTCACAAGCCATAGAAATGTGGTTCAATGAATCCTAATTTTGCCCACGCAGGCGGTCTGTGATCCCTTTGAAATCATAGGCCATGTTGAGTATACGTACATCTTTGTGGGGAAAGGAACCATAATTAGATTCTCAAAGGTGTCTGAGACCCCCAGGAAGGCAGGCAGCACCATCCTATTGACTGACGGCATAGCTTTGAACTCAAGAAAGCATCTTTGCTGGGGGCTTGGGTATTATTGCTTTTCAGGCAATTGGTTTACTGAATATCTGAACAAAATATGGAGAAAAATCTCAGTGAATTTAAAAGAGTAGAAAGTTTACCCAGCTACTGAAACATCCCTTTCGAATGAGGGCTGAGTATGAGCTCCCACGTGCTCTGCATCTTTCAGGGAAGGAAATAAAAGCCAGTTCATGCGTGATGTGGATCTTTGTGAATTTTCTGGTGATGGTTAACGTTAAGAGGCATATGCTTTAAATGCCAAAGTCCCTTTAAGAGAGCGATTAAGAAAGAGTGAGAGACGGACAGAGAACAATGCCTATGCAGTGAACAATCTTACTCCCTGTGGGAAACAAATGAGCGTTTTGACAATTACCATTTTATTCTTTCTTTAGAAATCCTTCTTCAACTTACCGACAGCTCTTACCAATGAGCTCAACTGGCCCCAGCTCTCTGGTGCTACCGGATTTCTGAACTCCACGAGCGGGTATGTACATTTGCACACCCTCAAACCTTCCCATATAGCTATGTAAAACTAGGGCAGGATATGGACTTGCTCCCAAGATGCTGAGATGAGAATTATTAAGGTCGCTTCTAGAACATGGTGACACACAACAAACGCACCACTGACATACAGTCAGTCAGTCATACAGTGGGAGGGGACGCAGATTGAACTGTATCAGAACTGACAAGGAGGAGGTGTTCCTGCCATGGGGAGTTCACCTTGGATGGAAAATACTCAAACACAACTTGGCTAAAATTAACAGGTAAGTCTCAAGGTCCTGGGGTCATCCAGGTTTTAATGCTACAGATGGGAAGGTAGGGACAATGCAGGGACAAACAAACTTGCCATGTGTGATTGGGTGTGGAGTTGGGGCCTGGGAACAGACATTCATAATGTTAGCACCCTATTTTTTTATTTAATGGAGGACATTGCATATCATGAATAATTTGATATATTGACTTATTTATTTTAAAAATAGTTATTAAATACTTACTACCTAATCAGGCAGAGATGCTATAGATGTTTTAAAGGTAAATAAGGCTTGCCCCATCTCTACAGTCAATTATAATGAAGGAGGACAGAAGATGAGATAAATGTACAAGTGATGATAAGACGAGATAAATGTGCCCAAAGGCAGCTCTCCACACAGAGCCACAGGACTCACTGGAGAAAGGATTCGTGGAAGTCATCAACAGCTGCCTCCTTTGGGGTGCTAGGCAAGGGGCCCAAATCCTAAAGGATTTAGGAAACTGGGCGATGAAAGAGACAAAGAAAAAAATGGAAGGGAACCAACCTTCATGAACCCGTGCTCAGGTTTACGTAGGAATCATCTGTGAATATTGATTGGGAAAACAGAGGGGATGTGTTTCAAAATTGGGTGTAGGTTTTCAAGTCTAATCATGGAAAAAGAATTAGGCTAGTCCTTGTCATTAGCGTAATAATACTAACAGTACCAATACTAGAGATAGTAAAACGTATCCTTCGTAAGGCATTCACTGTTTGCCAAGCATTTTACTGTTCTATGGAGATTCTCTTGTTTCATCTCTTTGTGAGGTTGGTGGTATTCTTTCTTTCTTGTAGTGGAGGAATCTAAGGGTTAGCAAACAAGTTAAGAAACTTGACCAAGATCATACACTAATAAGTGGTAGGATGTATAGGATGGAACCCTGGGTCATATTTTACCTTGGATCACATTAGTAAGTGGTGGGGCGTGTCCTCATGAAACCTTGGGTCATATTTTACCAGAATCATTTGGTGAGCAAGGGCCTCCTAGCCCACAACTCCCAACCTTTATGTGTGTCTTCATTCTGCCTGCAGAACATGGCTCCCTGTAGCCCTTGTCCCTTTATTCGAGAGCGTAGCTATGAGGTGGGGAAATGATGGAGAACCAAAGAAGTCCTCCCCATGTGGAGATGTGGCCTACGCTGTTTCAGATGTCAATCATGCACCTGTTATCCCTCCCCCAAGTCCCCATACTCCCAGCAATCTGGGGCCCCCAGAGCCCCACCTTCAGCCCATCTTTCCTCAGCTACAGTTGCTATTGTTTTTGTCACCTGGAATACGTCCAGAGACAACCCAGCTAAAGCAACATTCTGGGAGAGTCCTGTTTATCTCCCCATGGTCAACAATGAAATGGAGAAAATAGTATTTAAGTGCCCTCCATTCAATCCACCTATGTGTGAAAATACTGAGGAGTTTCTCTACATCAAGGCTTTTATGGCACTAACAGAAGGAATTCATTATGAATGAGAAATGAATGCAGTTTATTGCACTTTTAATGGAGCTTAAATTTACTTATGAACCCTATAAAATTCAGCCTCCTTTGACCTAAAACCTCACGAAGTTGCCATAGAGGAAACAGCAGTCTGATATTTAAAATTAATTGCCAAGTAGCTTAAATCTTCACTGGAGTCATAAAAGGAATGAAAGAGGAATCCATCCACCAGTTAAAATAGTGAAAACTTGTTTCCTCATCTCTTTCCACTTATAGCTCACATAATATTGCCCCACATCTAAATCTAATTTTTCCAAGAACTCTACCCAAACTTAGCTCCTGCTCCCAAGCAGACTCTGTTCAGTGCTTTTTAGTTTTTGTTGGGGGGTGGCAGGGGAGCTGGTCTCCCTCTTCCCTTCTGCATCTGTTCTGTCCTCAGACCAAGGGGTTACTCCTTTATCAATGAAATCACACCAACTATAGCAGTTTCCACCCATCCTCCTATCAGAGCTCCACAGACATACAGATCTTCCTTGGAAGAAAGACAGTGGGGTATAAGGGAGAGGAAAATGTGCAAGTCTCCTGACATGTATGGCTTATAATTGTGTATTCTACTTAAAGAGAGGTTCTGACATCATCTCACAAAGGAAGTGACTGGTCTAGGTGTGCTTATGTGAAAGTCATCTCTATCCTGAGCTAGTCTGGGCTGTGTTAGCATCTTCTTGTACTAGGCGCTCTATTGCTATTTATAAAAACTCACAGACTGCCTATGCGACTTGCTCAACATTAACTCTAATATTGTCCTTACCTGTCATACTTCTAAGATACACCTACGCTGCAGGGGCCTTTCTCTCTGTGTTTTGGGGTCTCAAGTTCTCTAGGTGCCTCCCTCCCAGGGCTCTTTGTGCCACCTGTGTACGGTGCCCATCATCTCTGCCGCTCAGCTGGGGTGGACGAGAATATATTCAACTCATTTTGATAGAAAAGAAAACTCTGTGTCTGGAATCTGAGTTGCAGTAGATTCCCCTGTTAATCAGAAACATAGCAGCAAGGCACTCCCTGTGTGTCACCATTCAGTGTGGGTCTCCTAACAGTAGTTCCTGTTAAACTATGTCATATACTCTCCTGAAAATTTTACCTGCAGATCATCTATGCGAGGCCAATCTCCTTCTTAAATGAAAAAGAGTTCTAAAGCGCGTAAAAATACATATATTAAAGAGAGAGTAGCAGATGATGAGGCTCTCTTCTGGTGGAATCAGGAGAAGAAAAAGAATACTGACCTAGAAGCAGCTTTTGTGACAGATGTGGGCAGCTTCCACGGGCATTTTAAGCATGTGTCTCTGTGAGCCCAAATGCTTATTAACACGGGATAGAAGTTATGGATTTACTCTATTCAACTGGATCTCTAGAAAGTGCTTCCTACGACCTGGGATCAGCTGCATGCTTGGGGTGTTAACAATGCTCTTTGGAAAACGTACCTTTGATAACAAAAAGATGCAGTTTGGGAGAGAAGACAATCCCTGTCCTCCTGCCATCATAGCCGCCGCCCCCCTCAAAATGTACTATCGCCTTTATGCGATGAATGTAACATAACTGAAATTACATGCATGCATTAAAACAAACATAACCCCTTAGCTTCATAAATCTTTACATCCTTCAGTTCAGGGGACATAAACAAAGTCTGTTCTCTTGACTCTTGAGCTTCAGAAAATTCAAAAAGCAATATCCCTTAAATTTTGTTTTGTTTTGTTTCCATTGTGATTCAGAAAGCAACTGAGTTGGTCCAAGAGCAAAACACAAAAAAGACAAAAACAAACAAACAAAAAAAACCACCTCTGTGAGGTTGGTAGCTTGGGTGCTGAAGCCTGACAATAGAGAGGAGAACTGTTAACTATAAGTGCGAAGAAAAAAAAAGAATTTTTAAAGATTAAAAATAGTACTTCATGTTCAGCTCACCTTCAAAAGCAATTAATGTAACAGGAAAATCCTATTTAAGTTACAGAAGCAAGGCCCAGTAACACACGTAGGGTGGGAGGACTTTTACCAAAAGGAAGGTAGGGCTTTTAGTTTAAGGGAGTGTCTGCCATTCCAGAGCCCTGTGAGTCTGCTTGGTGGCAGAGGAGGAAGGCTGTTCACAGATACAAGGGTTCTGGGTCTGGGTTCCCTTCGGCAGGACACTTAGCACCACTGGACCTCCTGTACATGATGGAGTTGACTAGTACCCGGAGCGCTCTGAGGCTCTCTCCAATGCTCCAGTTTAGTGGTTACAGGGCAACGTGATGCGAAGGTCTGCATCCTACTTTTGATGCCGCTTGATTTAGAAGCATTGGGGGAAGCTGCTGGGGAGAGATGTCCCTGCTTCTCCCCCCCAAATGTCCCTTTCCTAGCTGTGACTTGAGACAAAACATGGCTAATTTTGTAGGTTAGACCTTGAAATTCTCCAAGAACTGTGTTTTTCTAGGGCCGGGGTGACTGTGCAATAAAGGTGGAACCAAGTAAGCCCTGCACTGTGTGATATGGGTGCGTGACCAGCTATGAATTAAGTGGTACTCTGCTATTGTCTTTATGTGTACTGTTTCCTCCAAGCAAACCCCGGGGAGGGAAACAGGGGACTCCAAATTCTTAACAAAGATAACTACCTGGACCGAGCCATATCTAACCTGAGCGTTTGTGGTTGTCCAAACCCCCTTCCTCTGAAAGTGGGGGCAGGGGGTCAGTCCAGTCAGTGCCGACTGGGGCTAAAGGATAGACAGATGCCTCAAAGCTGGGGGGGCACAGGGGGCTGGGAGGGAAAATGGGGCAGCAACCTGGGCTTTAAAAAAAAAAAAGAAATGTAAGTAAGGAGCTGAAGTTAGCCATAAAATGTCATGAAAGCCGAAAGAACCAAAGCAATTACCAAAGTGACTATAACAAGCTAGGGAGATAAGAGTGAGACAAGTAGGTCCGCCTAAGTGGGTGCAAACTAGATGGAATTTTCTAGAGTACATGTTGTTCCTTCTGCTTCTGGCTTAAATTTGCTATTTGGAGCCAGAAGCATAGCACATGCTTAGAAAGAAATAGACAGAGCCATTGTTATAAGTGGCAGAGTAACGCCGTTCGAGGACATTTAAACACACGTCTTTGATGAGAGGTGTCCTAGAATCTGAGTGTTAGAGGTTATCTATTCTCTCCAACCCAGTCATCATTATAGGAGAGAACAATTTTGAAGAGCAGCGTATAACTGCAAACCAAGTCACTTGGGGCATTAAAAACAGAAAATTGGAGAGAA